GTGTATGTGTACATTTGATACGTGTTTTACACAATGTGACAGGTCTGATCGGGAGTGGGGAGGGGTGGCAAAGAGAGACCATTTGATTGGGGTCTTTATTCCTGCTTCCTTAAGGTCAGATGGTTGGGATTTGTGGAATCTCTGTCCTTTGACCCTTCCATTCAGTCATTTCTTCCTTTGCAACATATCCAAAATCCATCTTTTCCTGTTCATCCTACTATGACGATCATCCTCCCTGCCTTGATAATTTTCTGCTTGAACTACTCTCACCTTCTTTCTGGCCTTCCTGACAACCCCCTCAGTCTCCTCCATTCTGTCATTAAACTCCTCTTCCTCTCCCACTGCCCTAGCTAGACCTATCAGCCCTTTTCATGAATCCTTCCATATCCCCTTCAGCATCTGTTTCAAAGCCCTCATCCTCACGTTCTTGACTGGTACTGTTCTGCTTCCTCTCAGCACTGGCTGCCCGCCATTTTTCTGTTCAGACCTTTCTCTCCTCCAGTTCCACCTCTATTACCTTCCTTCTGCCCTCAAGGACTTCCATGACATCTCCCATGCTGCCCACAGAGCCTGGAATGTCCTTCCTGATCCTTTTCTCCACAACATAACCATCCTGTCCTCCTTCAAATCCCTCATCAAACCCCCTTCCCACAATCCCTCATATAATGAACCTCTGGTATCCTTAAAGTAAATAAAATGAAATTAAAAGTGTAATTATAAAACAAAAACAACCAGGGGTGCTGGAGCAATGTGTATAGTAGGGGTGCTGAGATCCATTGAACCAAACTGTAAACCCTGTATCTGATAGAACCACTTCAAGTCAGGGGGCATGGTAGCATCCCGCCCACCCCCCTAGTTCCAGCACCTATGAAAAGAAGAGAATTAAGATAATACCCTACCATCCTTACAACCCCGTTACCTTACTGTGTTTTCCCTCTCCCTGTTCCTTGTCTGCTACCTCCCACATTGCCCTGCCATGTCCTAATCAGTTTAGATTATAAACTCTTTCGGGCAGGGATCCTGCCTTACTTATTATGTAAAGTGCTAGGCACAACTATGGTGCTATGTACAAATATTAATTATTAATAGTAAGTTTGGAGGTTCATCCCCACCTCCCTTTTATTAATGTAGAAACTATGGACGTTACTATATTTTAACATTTATATTGCAGCAATTCCTGAAACTGAGGTAGGAGAATTGATTTGATTTCTGTTAGTTTGTTCACAACATTGAACTCCAGATAAGCTCTCTTGACTAGCCTATTTTATGTCCTGTAGAAGTGTATCATTGTTGGCATTTTTATTTGGCAGTCTTGTGACATTTTACATTAGAACAATAGATGGGCAGAATAGAAATTATAGATTTGAAGCTGGGGAACTATATCAAATGCTTGTCTATTTCATACCTTGTATTTTTTATCAATCTGATCTGTATTTAGGAAAGGGGACAGTGCAGTTCTCAAATGTATGGGTTTGCAAACTTGCACACCAGCTGTCCTAGTCAGTAGTGAAGCTAACAGGGCTAAGGTGAAGGTATTCATGCTGTTGGAAATACAGCTAGCTGCCTCGGGAGACTGCTTTGAGAAAGATTTCAGCAATATTGAATCCCCACTGTTACTCGGGGGTATTGCTGTGCACATATATAATTTGTGTTAGATAAAATCAGGAAGTAATAAAGGGGGGAAAAGAAGAGCTGTGAGATCTACTGTATACTGTGTTTTATATCTTTAGGAGAAAAAAATATCCAGGGAATGTTGCTTTAATTTGTGGGGGGGAAAGTGTGCTGCTTTAAATCAGAAAACTTGCATTCTAGTAACTCTTTTAGTTTGGGAACCATTTGGGTGTGTTTATAAAGTAAAGTTGCAGAGTAGGCATGTTTACTAGACCTTTAATTGCTACATTTAGTAGAAAGGCTTTTTTTTTTTTTTTTTTACGACAAGAAGCCAGAGTTTGCTGTGCAAATGAAGCAGGCTTCACAAGAATCAGATTCACTTTGGACGACTCTTCACATTCCTAGTCATCATTACATTAGGCAGCACAATTCCATCTCTGGTTGATGGGCAGAAAAAGTGGGCAGCCTGCCAGGTAGACGTTTCCATGGCTCCCAACCCCCAAAGGTGATGCGTTTTTCAGCTAATTCAATGAAGAGTGGGCTGAACTTTGGGTATAAACTAGACAATAGCTGCCTTCGCAGTATCAGCAGAATGGTTTATGGGAATGCACTCCACATTTGGCAGAGAATCATGTGACCTTACGGCTGAGATTTTGTGATGGTGCCAACGGAGACTTGGAAAGCAGTACCCGTTCTGACTTTTTTCCTCTTTTCTTACATGGCTCAGAAAATGGTGGATCTTAATACTTGACTTTAGCCAGACTCAGCAAGCGATTGAGCTTTGAAGCACAACTTTGCCTTTATTCTGGCTTTTTTGGCACACCACCAGGAGGCTGTCCCTTTCACGCCTGATAAACTCTGCTGCTTATCTCTAACTAGGGAAAAATATATAGAGATATAGATAGATAGATGTATATACAGAATATTTAGACTTCATAGAATTTTAAAACTATAGGTTCTATTTTTTTTTATTGCTGAACTGTGGTTTATAACAATCTTTTTGACTGTCTGAAGAATAAAAGTTCTTACTGTTTAATGAACAGGCGTTTGAACTGGGCAAACGGGGCGACAGCACTGAACATGAGATCATTGCAGCATAGTGTAGCAAACTGGCACCCTGCCTTTTCACCCCTTTGCTTCGGCAGATTTGTGCAATCCCCATTTATAAAATCAGCACAGGGGCTAGATGAATTTTCTGGTCTCTTCCACCTCTATCACTGTGCAGGCACTTGCAACAAGGATTGGTGCAGCTTTTGCGCAGTGCTTTGTGCTTGGAATTCCGAGAAGAACGAAAAAGAAGACAGGCATCCTGGTCCTATTCCGAGAAATAACAGGAGCCTAAGAAGAAACAAATCTGAGTTTGTCTTAGATACAAGAGTGATGGGAAAAATGTGAATCTCCTGCTTCAAAAAAAAAAAAAAAACTGGCATGTTTAACTACAGAGACATCAGGATGTGTTAGAGCTTCTTAAAACAATATAACTAAATGAGCCTAAGCGATTGTTTCTTTTACTTACCAAAAAAATCTGTATTTTATTTTATTATTGCTTAAATAGCAATATTTGGCAGTGGGTGAAAACGTACCTTTCATATCAGGTATAGCTTATTTTTCTTTTCTTTTCTTTTTTTCCTTTTTAAACATGTTATTTTGAAACTGAGTCCTTGTGTATTAAATTTACCGTAGTCAACCAATCACACCTTTTTTTTTTTTTACTAACTTTTTGTTTCACTGTGTTTGATCTAATACTGCTAAAAATAGAAAAGTAAACAAACAGGAAAAAACAGAAACTATATAAATAAGTAGTTGGCACATTTTATCTTAGCTAAGCACTGAAGTTACTCAAAGATTTTAATGGTTATATGTATTCAGTATAAGCTTTGGTTATCTGTAAGAAAATGGGTATTTGGAGCTGGTTGCTACGGAAAGTCCATTCTTTTTTTATATAGTGTGACTCATGCTTTCAATTCCTAAAGAGAGGGGGGTGGAGGTGGAAAAAGTTAAAGCTGTAGGAGAAGATCACTCTTGTAAGCAGTATATTAGAGCAAAGTTATGATTGAGTTGGTTCACATACTATCTTACAATTTGTGTTTAAATCCATTACAAAGAATTCAGTGTAATAAGCACAGGAATAAAAGGCACATTATTTGAAGTTTCATGCAGCAAGCCTGGTTTGCTGCTAGTAACCGTGCCTATTTTAGGATGTTTGGTAAATCAGCACTTGTCCATGAATAGTTGAAACAGTGCTTAAGATACCCATTCAATATTTTTGTGAGAAGTGCATACAAAGTTACTGTAAGTTTAAAGCACAGTGCTGTGTCAGCAGATCAATTGTTTCTTAATCATTTTGTCTGTCTTTGGAAATAAATTGCTAGGCAATTGGAACAATTTTTAATAAAATTCATTTTACCTGGCAAACAATGAAAGTGTTGTCCAAATCAATATTTTTTATATATTTTCAGTATGAATTTTTTCAGTCTTTGTCTATTCTTTTGAATTCTATATTAAAAAGTTATAAGTCCCTGGACAGAAAATACTTTGAGACATAAAATGTGCTTTCATTGAAAACTTTGATTTTCTTATTTTAAAAAACTGTAATTTTTTGTTTCTTTTCTTATACAAACTTTATAACCATCTTATGGCTTTACAAAATATATTTAGTGAAGTTTAAACATGTATTTCACAATTTATAGATTGCCAGTTGGATAGCTGCTCTAAGACTACCTGCTGAATTGTGCTACTTTATATTTTTGTTGCTTTGCAGTGAATTGTGGGAAATTACTAAATTGAGATCATTTATGTATAGGAAAGATATAGCTCTATTCACCTATATTAAAAAGAACAAATTTATTGTGATTTCCCACCAATACTTGCATAAAAATAACTACATATATCAATAATGCATATTCGTATAGTGGAAAATCTATTCTTGCATTTTCTTAAAAGAACATAATTCTATTGTAAATTAAAGCATAGCAATCAAATCATATATTTTTCTGAGGTTTTCCAAAAGTATCTTTTAAAAATTATTGTAAGTGTAATTGAACTTAACTTTCTCCAATATTTTTATATTAAGTTCCATGTTAAATTAAAATCAGATAAGCATCTTTAAGCAAACCTTTTTTATTTTCTAGCAAGTGTGCACTTCTATTTTTGGAATTGTTAATACAATTTTAAAAATTAGAAAAAAAAAGAGAAAAATACAAATGACACAGTCACTTTGCCTAAGTGTGTGTGGCTCACTGCATATTTTGCCAGTGGCCTTCAGAGGGGCGTTGGTTTTAGATCTTTAAAATTATGGTTACTATCCTTTTGCATATTTCATGTTCTAAAAATACTTTCACAGAATAGACCTTCTCATTATTTCTTTCTTAATCGTTTTCTTGTTTTAGTGCAAGGAAAAATTAAAACGGAAATGAAAAATGAAGAAGTTGGTTATACCAGAAATCACTGAAGGTAATAAAGTGATCTTCTTAAACATTTTTACATATATAAGATAAATAGTTTATATATATATATATATATATATATAGTTTATACATGTGTATATATAAATAAACAAAGCTGAACACTGGAAATACTAATGTACAGATATCTATTAAACTTTTTTCTTTGATTGTTTTCTGTTGGGAATAGTGCACTACTGGTTACGTTTATACTTTTTTCTATGCAGCTTTAGACTAAACTGAAAAATCAATATATAATTTAGATCTTTTACAATATATTTGAAATGTAGTGACCAATGTGTGTTTTTTTTAATGAAATGTTAAATACCTCTCCGTCATTCCTAGAAATGGAAATATCTGAAAAGTACTCTCCTATAGCATCCATTAGAATCAATCAGTAAGAGATGTAAGCAGTCAGTATCCATGCTTTTGATAATATAAATATTCTAGGCATAGGGATTGGCTTTTATGACAAGATATGTTAACCCTTTTGCTTCAGCAGAAAGCATGTATAAAGTTTTATTACTCTTGAATGCACACATGTACATAAAATCATAGCAAGTTTAAAACATGCATTTCTGGAAAATAATTTGTTTAAACAATTACAAAAAAACAAGTAACATATCATAGATGTTCTAAAATTTAATCCACTAAATTATTCAAAAACACAATGGTCATTCACAGGCATTAGATCATTGTTGTCATTATCAAACTAGAAGTATTTGCTGCAGTTTTCCAGATACTGAACAGAGTATGGGCCTGATCCAGTATCCCTATGCTAGCAGTACTCTCACTCTCTTAAATGAAAGTTTTGCCAGATTAAAGACTACAGAGTTGGGCCTTTAATTTAAGGCGGATATTGAAATCTAGTTCAGATACAGATTTTCAGCTGCATATTTTCAACAACCTGCTAAAACCAAATCATCTCTACAGCAGTTATTTTAACAGGTGAACCTCTGCTGCCAATATTTTAAAAATACATTTGTAGTTATGCTGTTTTAGAATTACACTCATTTATCATATACTGATCTTTAAAATATTGAGATGAAATTACATTCATGTAAAATATTTAGATTATAAAAATGTGTCTGTCTGTCTCACCTGTTGAGTTACTAAATATTTCTACAAAGGGCCTATTTGGATAAGGCACCATAATTTGGGTCAGTGAAAATAAGGGCGAATTTGGTTTATGAATTAATCCTGAAGTTTTACCAGGAAGCAATATTGTTTGGAATTTTAGTGAACAAAATATATAAACTAATTTCTGGGGTTTGATTTTTATATGCTTTGCTTAATAATCTAGTTCTGTGAGCATTGTAATATGATGAAATCTCTAGCCAGTCTTTGTAGTGTTATATGTTGGAGCCCAGCTCTCATACATGATGGATTTTCAGATACAGTGGGTTGATTTTCATTCTTGGTTAGTAGTACATTTCATATTCAAGCATAGAAGCCAAACATATGTTGTTCATATTATTTCACATCGAATTATGGGACCTAATCCTGCATTCTTTGGGCATGCAAAACTCCTATGGAAGTCACAGCGAATTTTGGATGCACCAATGTTGCAAAGTTTATGCAAAATAATGTTTACTCTGATTATGGATAAAAAGATTAGACAGTAAACCTGTCAAATATTGTAGGTTTTTTTTTGTTTTTTTCTCTTTTTTAAAAAAGTAGCAAAGTTATTTTCTGTATGCCAATCGTTGGATGATATATTTTTACAGTTGATTTAAATATTGTACTCTTTTATTATCATAATTATAAATGCTTCACAAGTTATTCCATAAGTATTCCACATTTCATTTAAAATGGGAGATGCTAGCTGATGGTGCCAATTGGCATAAACCCGTAGATCCGATCTTGTGGTAAAGTATACTGCACAAGCTCGCTTCTATGGGTCTGTGTCACTCTGGTGATCTGGCAAAAGATTACATGACAAGCTACTTGGTGATATTTGAAAATCAGATGTCTAAGTGATTGCTTCAAGTAAAAGTGGATTTTGGACTTTTTTGTTTATTTCTGTTATGCTTTTGTTCTCATGTGCCTTATTTAGTGTATTAAATCATTTTGTTCCATTTGATTTTTTTAAAGCACACTTGTCTTAAAATCAGATTAAAAATCTATACTCATATTTAAGGAACTTAAATATTTTTCACAGAGCAAGGCTAGAGTATACTAGTTTTAAATAAATACATAACATTACACAATGTTAAATGCAAATAGCATGTGGTCAAAGGAAATAACTAAATTTGGATGTCTACTTGATTTTTATTTTACAAGACACTAAGTGACCACAGTGAGTTCTTTTAGAAATATAGCTGGATTCGCATCATCCCTTTACAAGTTTTTTCTTAAAAAGAAAAGAACTGGATGAAACAGATTGCTAGCAGTGCCCTCAAAATAGACAAATATGTATTTTCATTATAATGTTAAAAATGGAACATGACTGAAAATAGAGTTAACTATATTTAACATTTTCAAAATCCACCCAGTAGGGAGCACATAGATATGTGGCTGCCATATTTGAAAGAGATGCTGAAGATGTGAAGAAGACTTTATGGTCACCGTTGGAAGCTGTGTGCATCCGGGTTGAGGTAGTAGGTTGTATGGTTTAGAGTTACACCCTGGGAGTTAACTGTACAACCTTCTAGCTTTCCTTGGAGCACACTTGGGCCATCGAGGAATTCATCATCATTTTAATCTGATCAGGGAAACTGTGCAAAAAGGTATTGTGTTACGGCTATACAGAATAATCACTCTAAAGCTTTATTGATGTTGAAATAGTCCTGATTACATGATTATTTCATTCACATCCTGTTATGAACAATGCTAACATGTTCTCCTAATGGACTGTGACTACACGCTACAGACACTTAGAAAAGAGTGATGGTGCTTTAATTCCATTAACAACAAGGCTTTAAAACTTGATTTTAATTTACAGATTGATAAAATATCAAGTATTAAATACGGTACTAATTTTCTCTAGGATTAGCTCATCCTAAATAGTTGAAATTTGTTGATATTCTGCTACTGTACAGAAACAAACTATTTAAAAAATATTTCTCCTTATGACTCTTTGGAATAAATATTGCATCACGCTGCTTAGGTAGATACATAGTATTATTGTTTAGTATTGAGCTTTGTGTGGGAATGTGATATCCTTTCTTATGCATACATTGTCCTACATTGTCACCTCAGTTCTAACCTGGAGCACTCCTACTCTTCCATTGTTAGATTTCAGACAAAGCTCTGCCCAAGAACCTCAGTATTGACTTGCAGCACCCCAAGAATTCTAGTTCTGGGTCCTCCCACAGTTCTGTCAATGTACCTGAATCCTGACCTGTAATAACCTTGTTATTTCAGTCCGTCCCAGGTCTCTCCTAGATACAGATTGCCATCTGAGCGAACTTGTGCTAATGATGATGGCAGAAGTTAACAATAGGGACCACCATACCCCATTTGTTCATAATCAAACTCAAAACTTAGTCTCCATACTAAACTTTAGATTTTTAGGATTTAATTCTGGCATACAGCCATACCCCTTCAGGAGATGAAAGAGACCCTGCCTATATCTTCCAGAGCTCCAGCATGCACCTTAAAGAGGGTGCAGTATGTGCTCATTTCTGCAGCCAGCCCAGCAGGGACGGGGGCCATGGTTCCAGCTGCTCCTGCTCCCTTTGCAGAGATTAGTGCAGATACTAGGGCTTGCCCTGTAGAGAACTTGTGTTCCTTGAGTGCAAGTCACCTGTTTTTGAAAAAAAAAAATGATGATAGAGTTTAGTGGAGAGAAAAATACTTTGACTTAGGGCAGTTAATCACTTTTCAAGCAAAACAGGAAGATGGATGTGTATAAATCAGGGACTGTTTGATTTTTATGTCCTGTGTTAAATATTCTTATCGTGTACTTTCCCTTCTGTCTACCATGGCCCTAAAAAAAACCATTTTACATTATGTATATGAATACTTTTGACAGACATTTCATCAAATAGATAAAATAATCCAAGGACTATCACGTTTGGGCCTTGTAAGGTTTAAAGAGGCATTATATTTATTGATCAATTGATACAAGGCACTCTTAAACCAAAATAAGAATTCCACACAAGGGATTGCACTGATTTAACTAAATCAGTTTCTAAACCAATTTAATTAAATTGGTACAACTTTTCCATGTAGACAAGGCCTTGCTGATGAGAAGGGTAAAGGGGATGAAATTCTGTAAATCATAGTATTACTAATAAGAAATATAATAGTGGAGCACATTGTATTTTTTCAGCAGTGAGACCTCTAATGCCGTCTTCCTAGCAAATAACAAAGCTTTGTATAAAATGGGTATTGTTCTATTTTGGTCGTTATATTATGTCCAGTAGACTACCTTTTTTTTCTGAAATTAGCATTAAATAGATCCTTCTCTGAGATTATTTAAATATGTGACCATTTATATATTGTGTTTTACAAAAGACGTGAAAATGTTTTGCTGCTATCACCCTAAATCAAGGGCAGGAAATAAAACCCATTCCGTTCTACTATAAGAGAAGGCCAGAGCTTTCATTATTACGTGGTTAAAAATTCTCACTAAAGTTCCCAGCATCCATTCAGAAAAGAAAAGAGAATGTCCAATTTCAATGTAATGCCTGTACAGGCCCCAGATCCTTGGGGACAAAACAGGAATCGCAAACCAATGAAATTTGACCCTCAAGCTGGAATCTCCGTTGGGGAAGAAAATTGGGCTGATAGGAGGCATGTCTTGAATCTGTGTATGATTGCAAAGCCTTTCCCACCATGCTAACATGGCATAGAGTTGTCCATTCGTTGCTAGCTTTGTACTCGTGTTTGTTATGGCTCAGAACCACAATTACTACAAAGAATTCCTGCCATCCTAACACTTTGACAAAGGTCAGATCAAACAAGCAACCTCCTGTAGACTCTCTTTTTTTGAGGTGCTTCCTGAATGTATCAGTAGGAACAAGAACCCTACCTCACCCCACCTGCCATTATGAGCAGGGTGGG